CTCGGAGGTCCGGGTTCCCTGCTGTTGCTCCTGCCCCTGAGTGTGAATGCGACACTCGATGCAGAAAAACAAAAGTTACGGCACGCAGGGAAACCCGGGCCATGGCAGCTCCAAAGTTAGACATGACCCAGAATGTTTTCAACAGGGACGGTTTGGGTTTGATGCCTCCCCTGCACCTGCCTGTTCCGAGTAACCACAATTGGCCCCGAAGGCCATCTGGGGTTAGGGTCCTGCCGCGGTCCCCGCTCGGCCCAGCTCAGCAAGACAGACGCTGCTGCTGCCGCTGCCTCCGAGGACTGAGGCCTCCCAGCGCCGCGGGGCCTAGCCCTCCAAGCAAAGGGCGGTCAGCAGTGCTTCCTGTGACTGATTTACGACCGACTGGGATGTTTGAAAAGCAACGGGCCGCTTATTAAGCTGACAAGCTCAGGGGAGGCCTGCGTGGCAGCGTGCACCCTCAGAGGCCAACAGCAGCCACACTGTCATATCATGTGACCCGGGCTGGTCTCGCTGTGGGTTCCCACCCACAGCTCTCGCTGCTCCCCCCTCAGGTCCCTTCTGTGGCTTTTCATGGAGTGAGCCCTCCACATCCCCCCAGAAATCCCTTTCTGGGTAAAGGAGAAATGTCGGCTCCATTATTCGCTCCAGGAATCACTCAGGGGGATGATTGCAGAGAGCGAGCATCTGGAGATTTTCCTTCTGTTGAACTGAGAGCCACTTTCTAGATCTTCCGCTTGAGTTTACCGCACGGTAGAGAAAATGGCACTTCACTTTCACTCCCAGTGACAATATATAAACTACACTTCTTGCCCTAGATAAAAAAGCCACATTGAAATGTGGATTTAAGTCCGCCCCCAACCCAGGTCCTACCCCCTCACGGAATTGTGTGTGTGGGTCGGAGCCTGGGTGACGCTCGGATCGCTTGTGGGCGTGTGACTCAAGATGCAATTTTCTCCCCAAAACTGCTGGCAGAGTTTTGGGCATGACATCCCAGTTACCCCTTTTTAAAAATTTACAATAATTGCTTTCTTTTTCTTTTATTTGTTTATTTTTTCCATCAGCACGTATGCCCCCTGTACCCGGCCACCCTGTACCACGGAGCGCCCCCCCCCCCATTACCACACTGTTATCTCTGTCCACGAACCTGAGCTTCTAATTTTATTTATTTAAAGATTTTATTTATCCATTTCCCGACAGAGGGTAAGGGAGGTAGATAGACAGGGAGAGAAACATCAATGTCTGGTTGCCTCTCACAGGCCCCCAACAGGGGACCTGGCCTACAACCCAGGCATGTGCCCTGGCTGGGAATTGAACCAGCGACTCTTTGGTTCACAGTCTGGCAAGCAATCCACTGAGCTACACCAGGCAGGGCTCATTTTTTTTATTTTTAATTACAGTTGACATATTATATTAGTTTTAGCTATACAATCCTGTGATTAGACAATTATATAACCTAATCTTCCCAATAAACCTGGTTCCTATCTCACACAATACATAGTCATGACAATATTATTGATTATATTCTCTAAGTTGTAAATCGCACCCTGCTGATAAATGCTCAGGGCTGATACAGAACAACCATCATGTTTTCGTTGACTTGGGTGGGAGGTGTCAGAGGGGCTGAGGAGGGGTAGTGCAGACGTGATGAAGCGCACAGTAGGGCAACCTCAGAACGTCTCCCCGTAAATTACTAATGATTGACAAACACCAAATGGTGTGTGATGGGGAGACCTGGCCGTCACCAACCAGCTGAGTCACCAGGATGATCGTCCCCACTGTCGGGACAGGTGGTGTACTGACCAGTCCTAGTTCTTTCCTCTTCCACAGCCCCGGCTCCCTTGGGGACCACATCCGCGCTCATGGTTTTATACGTTTTCGTAGCATCACTTCCCAATCTGTGTCTCCAGCCCAGACATTTCTGCTAAAGGTCCCCGGACTCATCTGTCCAACCTGACACGTCACTGCTGCTTCTGACAGACAACCCACCTTGACCTTCTCCTCAGTTAGACGCTTGCAATGCCCACCCCTCCCCCCCACAGGCCCCTGCCAGCGTCTTCCCCATCTCTGCTGAGAGAACCCCGTCTTTCTGCTGCCACAGTACCATGTGGGGTGCCCTCCTGGACTCCTTCCCACACTCCAGGTTTAATCGTTAGGAAACGCTGTGAAATGCATCATCCACAGGCTTTCAGCTTCCAGTCCCTTCCCGCTGTTCCCACCGCCCACAGCCCGGCAGCGCCCCCAGCGGCTGCAGCCGGGAACGCAGGGAGGCTTCTCACACCTTTCCTCCCGCCTCGCGGGTCCCTTGTCTCCTGATTCTGGGCTCAGCCCAGCAGCCAGGCTGGCCCTGCGGCCCGAGGGCTCTCTCCTGGGGAGGACCGCTCAGGGGACATGGCTAAAGGACATCGGCGCCTTGAACAGGACCTTCCAGGGCTCGGCACCCGCAGACTGAGGACAGGGTCTGCGGGGGGTTGAGGACAGTGGGCGCCGGAGCAGCTCCTGCTGTAGGCAGGTGTCCCCACCCTCAGAGGGGTCGGCGCTCTGAGCCCCACAGGGACACCCCTGAGGGCTGCAGGAGGGGGGCCTGGACGCTCGGGGGACTCCTGGGCCACCAAGCAGCACCTGGTTAGAATCAGGGGGCAAACCCAGCCACAGCCTGAGGCTCCAAAAGGTCACATTCGGATGTGCGGGAAGAAACCTGAATTGTGCACGAAGGACAGGTGGTCACAGGGAATATTAACGGGGAGGCATGGGGTCCCCTTGTCACGTGGCACACGTTCTGTCCCACCCGGGTTGGCTTCACTCCTCATGGGAACTTTATGAACTTCAAGTGACTTAGAACCACTGAACAAATGGGGTGAAGGTGGAGATAGAACAACACCCACCAAAACAATATCCCTTGGAGCTGTTCATCTAAATGGCTTCTGATATATGTACATAGTACTCATTTTAAAACAAACCTTTCTGTAACTAAAAGAAAATTAAGTAAAAGCAAAGTCACCCCGTGTCTCTCCTTGCTCTTCACTGTCCCTCTCTAAGTCACAACCCTCCCAGCCCCTCGGGCCTGCGGGGCGCGGCCGGCATCTGACCTCCAAGGACCCTGCTGCAGCCACGCGGCCTCCCCGCTGTTCCCAAGCCGCGCACACAGGCTCCTCCCCAGGCGTCCGCGCGGGAGGGTCCCTGCCTGGAAGGGACCTGCCCAGACGTCCTCCTGGTCAATAGCTCGAGTCCTCTCCTCTTTCCCCTGAGGTCACCTTCCTGTGAGGCCCCGGCTGCCCCCCCATTTCTAACAGGCCCCTCCCCTCCCAGCGCACCCCCGTGCCCCCATCTCCCCAGCACCTCCCGCCTTCTCACGGAAAGTATCCTTAGTGGCTGTGCTCGCAGAATACAGTGTGTCCCTTTGCAACGCAATGTGTGCTCTGCAGGGACAGCCGTTTGGCCTGTTCTCAGCTCCCCAACGCACAGCCCTGCTGGATTTTATAGCGCCTCACAGATGTGGTTTTTTTGTAAAATCTTTAACCGAGGATATGTTCTTACTGTTTTCTAAAAGATTTTTAAAATTGATTTTTAGACAGGGGAAGGGAGGGAAAAGGAGAGGGAGAGAAACCTCAACGTGTGGCTGCTTCCCACGTGCCCCGCCCTGGGGACCTGGCCCTCAACGCAGGCTTGTGCCCTGACTGGGAATCGAACTGGCGACCCTTTGGGTCTTAGGCCGGAGCTTAATCCACTGAGCCACACCGCCCAGGGCTGTTCCTACTCTTTTTAGAGAGAAAGAAAGGGGGAGAGCAACATTACGGTGAAAGAAACACCAAGTACTTGCCTCCCGCCGTCGCCCCCGTGAGAAACGGGCCCCGCCGCCCAGGCACCTGCCCGGAACCGTCCCCCGCCTGCGGCCTTCCCGTGCGCAGGGCGGCCTTCCAACCGGCACAGCCCCCGGCCAGGGCCGCGGCTTTTTTTAAAGTTGAAGTTACGGTTTTCCACTGGCAAAACGAACAATTCGCTAAAAGCTCCATGAGAGTTAGCGATTCTTACCAGTGAAGTCTGTTTCAATGAAGGTATGTGCATCGCTCTTAAGACACAAGACCTTGGGAGACTAGAGAGACTACTGTGCAGCGTAAGCCTTTTGTGCTCACAGGGAAACCGAAAAGTTTGTGACTCACTTTATTACAGTGTTTGCTTTATTGGGGTGGGTTGGGTCCGAACCCAAATATCCCCAGGGCACGACTGAGTTCCAGGTGGAAAGATGGTGTGTCATCCGCCCCGTACTCAGTGCACACGGATGAAGTCCTTCGTCCTGCGGACCCCTCCCTATTTAGTGACGGTGTCTTCCTGGATGTGGCGTCAGCCCCCAGCGGTCCCGGGCCGGACAGCACAGGGGCCCTCACGCGGCCACCGATGCGCCCACCCCCACGGGGCTGTCCCCGAGACCCACCGCGGCCGCCCCTCCGTGGGTCCCCGCGTTCGCTCCGGGGCCCGCACGGGAGCCAAGGGCGGGGAGACGGGCCGAGCGGAGCAGGGTTCCCGCGGGAGCGGGTCTGAGCGGGGCCGGCAGGGGCCTGCTCTCTGCTAATTCCAGGGCCCGGCGGCTCTGCGGGCTGGGAAGGGGGGAGGGACAGTCCACCCCGCGAGGCAGGAGCCGGGGGAGCCTGAGACTCCTCCTGTCGATACCAGAGATTCCTGTGAGCGGGGGCCACCCCGGGCCTTGTGGGGACAGTGACAGGCAGAATGGCTCCTGTTGCTGTCAGGTGGGGGACACCCAGAGGAGAAGGAGGGGAAAACTCAGGCACCCACGCCACTCGGCCAGAAGGAAAGACGCAATAGTGGCATTTGTGACAGCGCGGGTGGGCCTTGGGAATATGATGCTGCGTGAAATAAGTCAGACAGAAACGAGAAGCACGTGATTTCACGCGCATGTGGGACATAAAACCGGGGCTCAGGACACAGGCAACAGAACGGTGGCTCCCAGAGGGACGGGCGTGGGGGAGGAGGGGCTCCTACTCGGCCTCGGAAGTTAGTTTGTCTTTGGAAGGCGGGCGGCGGGCACACAGTGCGACAGACAGACCCTGTATCATGCAAATGCCCGCCTGCCACCTGTGTGATCTTATAAATCAATGCCACCCCGATACATTTAATGAAGACACACCCTGATACATTTAAAGAAACCCACTCCAATAGTTTAATTAAGAACACAAAAATAGGTACAATATCTACAAAAGAAAGAAATATTAAATAAAACAGCGGGGCCGTGGGCCAGACCCAGGCCCGAGCCAGCCGGTGGCAGCCCCGTGAGGCCTCCGCACCGTCGTGGAGCCACGGGCCGGCCCGGGAGACGCTCCAGTCTCTGGGATCGCACGTCCTGGAGGGACGAGGTTCCCCTGAAGCGGCAAGGACAGCGGGGCCACAGAGACGACCCTGACGAGGAATGTCCCATATGGGGAATACTTCACCCCAACTCTGCGGGGACAGGACGGTCCCCAGGGGAGAGGACACAAGTCCCTGTGGGGAGGGCGGCCTGGGGACCAGCTTCTCACATGAGGCTGATAAGGACGCAGACACGTTCAGGTGCCGGTGCAGACACAGCCGTCGGGGATCCTTAAAGGCCCGGGGGAGGCTGCAGTGACTGTTTTTGCACCAAGTCCCCTACAAGGCAGCTGTGTCACGCTGGGAAAGAACGTTGTCATGAACACATTCAGCTCCGTCTCAGAAGTGTCACATTCCCCCACAGCCACCGCACGCTCAGCACGTCCCACTCTGAGACTCCCCAAAACCCAGCGGTGCCCCTCGGGCCCAGCGCCCCCGCGTACTGCCCTCAGGGTCTCACCGTCAGCAGCTGTGAGAGACACATCAGAGCCCTGGGCACTGTCACCGCCTGGGGAAGGACACAGCAGCAGAGTCACGGGGTGGGGAGCCCCCTCCTAGACTCCAGCCCACACGCTCCCCAGGGTCCCAGACGTCCCCTCCCGATACCCAGACTTACAGGCAGCCTGGGGTTTCTTCTCCCTGCCTCTGCCTGTGGGAGGAAAATGCTCTGTGAGGAGTCGGGGGGGAGGCTGGGTCCCGTGACCCTAAAGGAGCCCACACTCCTGAAGGACAGGGAAGTTTCCAGAACTGTGACTGAACACCCAGGGTAGGATCAGGAAACACAGGGAAATTTATTGTGTGGTAACTGGACCACCTGTCCCTGTCTGGACGTCTGTCCTCAGCAGGGACCTTCCCTTCTGACCTGTGACAGCTGGGAATCCGTCCCCATCGCTAGAGTCATCAGGTGAGAAATTTGTCCTTCACTTTCCCACGGGCCTCACTGAAGGGTCAGTGTTGGCAAACAGGCCCCCGATGGGCAGCACCCGCGTGGGTACGATGCCCACTCACGAGGCGGAGCACACGGCCACCTGGGCCTGACCCCCAGGGGGACAGGGACCTCGGCCCCACCCCTGCCCACCTGAGCGCGTCCTCCTCCACGTCACAGCCACAGCGACCGCAGCAACAAGGAGACCCAGGGCAGCAGCAGCGATGCCCACGATGGGGACGGTGGTCCGAGGAGGGGGCTCTGCGAGGGGGGAGGCGAGAGGCCACCCTCAGGCCCGAGTCCTGACCCCGCTCAGGGACGCCCTGAGGAGAGGCTCTGTGCCCACGCACCCCCCTCACCCCATCGCAGGGTCAGGGGCTCGGGCAGCCCCGCGTGCCCCACGCGGCACATGTAGCTCTGCTCCTGTCCAGGGGGCACGGCCACGGCCGCCCACGTCTGGAAGGTCCCGTCCCCCGCAGGCCTGGTCTCCACAGTCTCCGTGTCCTGGGGCAGGTCCTCCCCGTCACGCTGCCAGGTCAGGGTGATGTCCGCGGGGTAGAAGCCCCGGGCCCAGCACCTCAGGGTCACCTCACGGTCAGAGATGCGGTGGCGGGTCACGTGTGTCTTTGGAGGAACTGTGAGGAGGGGTGATGAAATTCAGGGACTTGCATGGTCATGGGACACTCCAGCTGCGCTCATGTGACACCCTGAGAATGGAGAAGAGAGAGGGTGGTGGGGGAAGGGAGTGAACTATCCAGACACCAGCCTGGACAGAGGCATCAGGGACACTTTTATTACCTTGGAAAGCTCTAGAATCAAAGCGAGAACCTAGAGTAGGAGTCTCCAGTCCTCTAAGTGGGGGAGACAACACTCAGGTGGAGGCTGATGACTCCGAAAAGCCGCAGTCAGGCCTCCGGAGACGGTCTCAGCCCGGGAACGAGGGAGCCCGTCCTGGGCACCCGGTGGGGGCAGGGTGTGAGGGAGCCGCTGTGGCTGTTTCAGGGAGAGGCCGGGTCCCTTATTGTCCTTAGAGAAAGCTGGGCCCGCGGGGAGTCACAGAAGGAGGAAACCTGGGGCCCTTCCCTCTCCTGAGCAGGAGGCGGATTCCGACACTGACCAGTTCCCTCCTCTCCCTGCAGGAGCCGCCCCAGCCCGCAGACCCCTCCCCGGGGAGGCCCGCGCCCGGTACCTGCTGGTAAGAGCACCTTCTTCCCCTTCTCGAGGAACAGGTGGAGCCGGCGCACGCACGTGTCCTCCAGGAAGAACCTCCTGACGTCTGCATCAGGGACCTGCACCAAGTTGCGCCAGGTGTCCTGGGCTGTGGTCCAGGAGCGCAGGTCCTCGTTCAGGGCGATGAAGTCGGTGCCGTCGTAGGCGAACTGTGTGAATCCGCGGAGGAAGCGCCCGTCTGGCCCCATGGTGCAGCCACTCATTGCCTGGAAGGTGTGCGACACTGACCCAGCCCCGAGGTCAGCCCCGCGCACTTACCCTGCCCTCACCTGCCCAGTTTGACCCACGATGAATACACCTCCATTGAAAATTAAACTGTATCAAACATCCCCGCGGGCCCCTCCCGTGTTGGGGCAGGGCGAGTCCCTTAGCATCGGGGTGACGCCAGGGCCCGGAGACACGGGGTGACCCCGGGCCTTCCGTGGGGACCGGGGCCGTGCCGGGACCCCGGCGCGCGTGGCTCACCCTCCTCGCTCTGGTTGAAGTAGGCGCGCAGCTTCTTCAGGTTCATTTCATTAATTTGTGCGTTGTGCGCACAGAGTCGTGACCGATGGTACCAGTAGTACGGCTTTTCCTGTTCCACCCACGGCTGCTCCGTCCACGGCACCCACGGTTTCGGCCTCGGACTCGTAGCGTCGCTGTCGAACCGCACGATCTCCGTGTCGTCCATGTAGCCGACGACGATGTACCGGGGCTTCCCGCGGCCCGGAACGGAGACGGCGGTGCTGAAATATCTCAGGGTGTGGGGTCCTGCGGGCGGGGAGGGCGCGCGTCCTGGGTCCGCGGTCGGGCCGGTAGGGGCAGGGGCCCGGGCGACGGGAAAGGGTCCGGGAGAGGAAGAGGGGGTGGGAAGGCGAGGTGCGGGGTCGAGGCGGGGCGCGGCGGGCTGGGTGTGCGGTGGGAGCCCGGGCACCGCAGTCGCCGTGCCCCGTTCATACGCCCCCGCCGGATCCCCTGGCTCCCGCCCCGCAGAGGCCGTTCCCTCCCGACCGCGCACTCACCGGCCCAGGTCGCGGTCAGGGCCAGGGCCCCCGAGAGCAGCAGGAGCAGGGCTCGGGGCCCCATGACTCAAACTCTGAGGATCTGGAGAGAATGCTTTCCGGTAGGCGGTGAGGAAGTGGTCCCCGAGAGCGCGGTGACGCTGATTGGCTGCTCTGGACTTCTGAAACCCAATGGGAGCGAGACCTGGGGCGGCGTCATCAGTATCCAGGATGTAAGACAGGCTGCTGGCTGCGAGAGGGTGAAAAAAAAAGCTCCGTGCAAAAGGGACCTGTAACCCGGAGCGTTCGCGTCCCAGCCTCTGTCTTCAGGCTGAGGCCCTGAGAACCAGGCCTGCTACATCGCTTGAGTGGCTCTTGTACTGATGCACGATTATTCGAAAGTAATGCATTGTTTTTATTAAATCATGGTGATCTTCCAGTGTCGATGCACATCATCAAATCACGTTTGTTAATCTTACGGCAGATCCCACCAGAAACTGTGGTCCGCACTGGGAAGCTGTGTGCCTGCCGTGGTGAGACACAAGTTTGCCAAAATCCTGCTTTTCTCCTGAGAGCTTCTGTTCTGTCGAGACAACGAGCACTGTCAGTTGTCAACTGCCACTTGGCTTTCCTTGGGGGAGAAGCTCACGTTCATTTTTGGGCAAGTGTCTGTCAGTGAACCAAGCCTCAGTCATTACAGTTCCTGTGTCACTCACTCTCTTAAGTGGACATGCTGTTCCTTAAAGAACAGGCTGGCTCAGCCCACACGAGCCATTTTCCTGCGCCCGTGACACTGGGGAAGGTCGCCGAAGGGTGTCGGCGCACTTTCCTGGTCATCATGGGCGATATTTAATTTCTTTAATTTTCCAATTTCATTAAGGACAGTTAAGAAATTAATCCATTTGTATAATGAATTGAAGATATATTTGTCTTCTTTTAAAATTGTTTTTGTTCTTTCAGTTACAGTTGATGAACCACATGAGTTTCAGGTGTCCGACTCTGTGATTGGACATTTCTCTAACTTACAAAGTGATCACCCTGATAAATCTAGTGCACACCTGACCCCCTATGCAGCTATTACGGCATCACTGACTGCATTCTCTGCGCTGCACTTTACATCCCCGTGACTTCTCCGTAACGGCCAGTGCGTCCTTCTCAGTCCCTTCACCTTTCCCATCCAGCCGCCTCAACCCCCTCCCATCTGGCAACCCTCAGTCTGTTCCTTGAATCTATTATTGTGTTTCTGTTCTACTTGATTACTTAGGTTTTAGATGCCACATATAAGTAAAATCACCTGGCATTTGTTTTTCTCTGCTCACTTATTTCACTCAGCGCAATACCCTCCATTCATGTTGCTGCCAATGGCAAGATTGCATCCTTTTCGAATGACTGAGACATATTCCATCGGATATATGCAGCTAGTCCCCTTAGAGACACTCAGGCTGCTTTCATATCTTGGCTTTTGTGAATATTGCTGCAATGAACACTCGGAAGTCTGTCTTTTTGGTGTAGTGTTTGGGTTTCTTCAGGTAAATACCCAGCAGTGCAATGGCTGGGTCCTCCATGTCTCTTGTTATATAGCATTTGTTTTAAAGTCTACTTTGTCTGGCATAAGTTTTGCTACCCCAGGTTGTTGTTGTTGTTTTTTTTTTTTGGTTTCCATTTTTATGAATTATCTTTTTCCTTCCCTTTCCTTTCAGTCTGTGTTTCTGTGTCGATCCGAATGGAGTCTCTGGTAGGCAGGGTCTGTAAGGGTCTTGTTCTCTTGCCTCTTCATCCACTGAGTGTCTTTTGACTACAACAGTTATTTCATTTGCATTTTAAGTAATTTGTTTTAGACGTGTATTTATTGTCATTTTATTATTCACCTTTTAATATATTTTCTTCTTAAAGAAGACCATTTAACGTTTCTTGTGATACAGGTTTGGCGGTGATGAACTCCTTCAGTTTTCTCTCCTGGGAAGCTCTTTACCTGACCTGATTCTAAATGGCAGCCTTTCCGATCAGACTTCCGGCCAAGATGGAGGCGTAGGTAGATGCACTTTGCCTCCTCTCACAACCAAAAGAAGGACAATGACAGCTTTAAAAACAAAAAATAACCACAACTGCCAGAAAATTGAACCATATAGAAGTCCAGCGACCAAGGCCTTAAAGGAGAAACATTCACCTGGACCGGCAGGAGGGGCGGAGACAGGCAGCTGGGGCAGAGGGGATGCACGGCAAGGCGGTGGCTGGAGGACCAGGCGGTCCCACATTGGCGTGCGGATAAACTGGGAGGAACAGCTGGGGAGCAAGATGGACCACAACCCAGGGTTCCGGTGCTGGGAAAGAAAGCCTCAAAAGCTCTGGAGCTAAAAACCCGGGGGGTTGCAGTGGCAGGGGAAATGCCCAGCCTCAGGAGAGTCTGTTGGAGAGACCCACGGGGTCCTATAAGTTACACAAACCCTCCCACCCTGGAATCAGCACCAGAGGGGCCCAATTTGCTGGCGGTAGCTGGGGAAGTGACTGAAAGCCCGCCCTGAGCCGAGCAAGAGGCATTGTTCCCTTTCGGATCCCTCCCCAACACACAGCGTCACAACACAGCGACCTGGGTGGCCCCATCCTGGCGAACATCTATGGCTCCGCCCCTCCCAATGTAGCAGGCACACTGAGAGAAAGAAATATGGCCCCAATGGAAGAACAGATGAAAGCTCCAAAAATAGAACTAAGTGATGAACAGGTAGCCAAGCTTTCGGATGCAGAGTTCAAAACACTGGAAATCAGGATGTTCACAGAAATGGTTGAGTATGGTCGCAAAATGGAGGGAAAAATGAAGGCTATTCCAAGTGAAATAAAGAAAAATATACAGGGAACCAACAGTGAAAGGAAGGAAACCGGGACTCAAATCAACAATTGGGAGCAAAAGGAAGAGATACACATTCAGCCAGGACAGAATGAAGAAACAAGAATTCAAAAAAATGAGGAGAGGTTTAGGAACATCTGGGGCAACTCTAAACAATCCAACTTCCGAATCATAGGGGTGCCAGAAGGAGAAGAGGAAGAGCAAGACATTGAAAACTTATTTGAAAAAATAATGAAGGAGAACGTCCCTGATCTGGCCAAGGAAATAGACTTCCAGGAAGTCTAGGAAGCTCAGAGTCCCAAAGAAGCTGGACCCAAGGAAACACACACCAAGGCACATCATAATTGCATTACCCAAGATTAAAGTTAAGGAGAGAATCTTCAAAGCAGCAAGAGAAAAGGAGACAGTTCCCTACAAAGGAGTTCCCATAAGACTGTCAGCTGATTTCTCAAAAGAAACCTTGCAGGCAAGAAGGGGCTGGAAAGAAGTATTCGAAGTCATGAAAGGCAAGGACCTACAACCAAGACTACTCTCCCCAGCAAAGCTATCATTGAGAACGGAAGGGCAGATAAAGTGCTTCCCAGATAAGGTGAAGTTAAAGGAGTGCACCATCACCAAGCCCTTATTATGTGAACAGGAACAGCTAGAACAGGAACAGACTCACAGAAATGGAGACCAGAGGGGAGGGGGAGGGGGTAGAATGGGGGAAAAGGTACAGGGAATAAGATGCCTACGTAATAGGTACAAAATAGGCAGAGGGAAGGTTAAGAATGGCATAGGAAATGGAGAGACCAAAGAAATTATATGTATGACCCATGGAGATGAATTAAGGGGGGGGGGGCGTGCCGGGGGAGGGTCGGTGCAGAGGGGAGGGGAATAAAGGGGAGAAAAGCAAATGGGACAACTGTGGTAGCTTAATCAATAAACTATATATTAACAATATCTGTCTCATATTTTGTAGTGCTTCCTTTCATCTATATATATTTATATATATTATACATATAATCCTCACCTGAGGACATGTTTTATTGGTTTCAAGAGAGGGGCAGGGAGAGAGAGAGTAAAGAGAGAGAAATAAAATTGATGTGAGAAACATTGACCCGTTGCCTCCGGCCCGCGCCCCACCGGGGCTCGAACCCCAACTTAGGTGTGTGCCCTGCCCTGGGATCCAACACCCAACCTCTGGGTTGTGGGTCGACTCCCTCCACCCGAGCCTCCTGGCCCAGGCTGTAAATATCCTTTATGATTATTTTAATGGCCTCTGTCATAGGGGAAGGAAGGTGACAGGATTTGTAGCCCGGGGGCGAACGGTGTCCCCGCTTTGGAAGGACAGAACCGCCCCGCTGCGGAGGCCGCCCTGTGCCCAGCGCCGCGGACGCGGGAGGCGCCCCGGACGGAGGCGCAGCGTCGGGGCGGCCGCCGCGGAAGGACTTCGGTTTCCCTGCGGCCGCTCAGCCTTCCCTCCGGGCGGCCTCCGAGGACCCCGGACGTGGCCCTCAGGCCCCTTCCAGTGTGGGCCTGTCCTCGTCCCTTCGGGCCGCTGTAACAGAATCCCACCGAGCGGCGGCTGGGAGGCGAAGCCGCGTGCGGCTCGCGGTGCTGGGGCCGTGAGTCCGGGTCAGGGCTCCCGCCCCGTCGCGTTGGGGTCCGGGCCTTCCCGTGTCGTGGGCTATGCCTTTTGCTGTCACTTTATGTTCGGGAAGGGACAAGACGTCTCTGTGGAGCCTCTTCTGTGAGAATCGCAGCGCACAAAGGCTCCCCTCCTGCCCCGAGCACCTGCCAGGGCCCCAGCTCCTGCCACCGCCCCGTGTGGGCTATAATTTCTACTTTAAAAGCAATTGATTGATTGATTTGCGGGAGAGACGGAGGGAAGGAGACAGGGAGCGGGGAGAGCGAGAGCGACAGCGACAGGGGGAGAGTAAGAGAGAGAGGGGCATCAGCGGGGCGACGGGCTCCCTCGCGCCCCGTGGTCGGCCTCCGCCGCGGCGGCTGCGGCCTCGGCCCTGGGTTTCCGGGCTCGAACCTGCAGACCCAGCGCGGCCCGCGACGCAGTCCGTCCGCGCGTCTCCCACGCGAGCGCCCTGCGGAATTTCTGCGGAAGGGTCGTTCTCACGCGTCATGGAACATGTTAGACAGACACCTGCGGGGTAGTTTCCCAACGTGCACGCCTTCCGGCAGATTGGAACATATCGGGGCTTCATCTCCGCCCGGATTCTCTCCCTTCCCCTGCTGCCTCGGGTGAGGAGAGGTCGGAGGGC